GAGGGAAAGAAAGAACAGAGGAAGAAGGAAGTGTGGTTGTGGAGGAAAGGTAGGTATTGCTATTCAAGCATTAAGAAGAAAAGGGTGTAGTGCTGCTAGGTATTTATGTAAAGAAGTGATAAGCCATGATGCCCAAACTTCCATGTTGGACAAGTCTATTGACAAGGGATTCGGAAACAGGAATCTGCTGGGAGGAAAGGTGACATAAAGATAAAGCATTTGGGAGGCTCAGTGACGCTTGAAGTGGTGTGTTTGATGTTGAAGACAAGTTACATAAAGTAAAACAGTAGAGCTGGGCGGTGGTGGTGCGTGCCTTTAATCCCAGCACTTGGGAGGCAGAGGCAGGCAGATTTCTGAGTTCGAGGCCAGCCTGGTCTACCGAGTGAGTTCCAGGACAGCCCAGGGTACACAGAGAAACCCTGTCTCGAAAAAAAAAAAAAAAGTAAAACAGTAGAAATATATAGTAACAGAGGTAAAAGACCAAATCCTGAAAAGGACTGAGACTGAAAGTGAAAGTGCTTTGTTCTCTGCTAAGCACTAACACCTACCCAGATTTGGGATAGAACACTTTGCCTCAAGCTCTGATTCACCTATTTGTAAGCAATGTGCCTTTAAGAATGATATCCTCTGATTAGATGATTGTAAATTTGTGATAATAATACAACAAGCATTTCATAAGGTAGCTGTGAGATCCAAGCTCCAAAGCCACGAAAGGAGGAGAGTCACAGGAGGAAGAAGATGCAGAAATCGTGAGGAAATGATAGACACTTTATTCACTTGGGTTGTGGATTAGTATGACAAACTGAATGATATGTACAAAACAAATTAAGGGTCTCACTGGAAGTGAATACTAGATACCATTACAACCATGGTAACTTCAAGGTTTCCAGATGTATTTTCTTATCACTGGACAGCAGTTTCCTACTGGCTTCACATTTATAGTTACCCTTCCAACAGAACCCTTATCTATGAAGCAGAGGGTGTGGCAGTGGTCAGGACCAATCAAGCCCAAGAGGTTTTGTAGGAATTTCAGGTCTTAAGAATCTCAGGTTCCCAGGTAAACTCAACAATTAACTGCCCCAGGACACATCATGGGAGAAGCACATTCCAAAGACTAACACATTCCAGAGGAAGGGCCCTAGATAAGAGGCAATCAGGAAGCTGGGCCCTTATTGTAATGCACCTGTGCAAACAGAAGCCTCTTAGCTAACACTCATTGTTATAAAGATAATGTGATAATCTGAGTTACCTAGAAACTGGGCCTGGGAATGGTCGTTGATGTCAACCTTTGTGGTTACTGTTTAAAGAGATGATTGTAGAATTGCCCTCGTAAACTCTGTGGAAATGGTATAAAAACTGCTCTTAGCTTTGGCTCGGGGTTCCTCCTCTTGCTTGTGTGTGAGAGAACCCCAGTGAGAACTGGGTATTATCAATACACCTCATGCTTTTGTAGCAAACCCCCTGTCCGTGAGTGTTTCTGTGGGAGGGCAACCCACGGTTTGGATCTTAGAGTCCAACAGTTTCAATTTGAACATGTCTTTGGGGCACTTTTTTAAAATGATGTTAATACTATTAAAACAAAACAAAACCAAATGCAAACAAAAAAAAAAAACAAAAAAAAAAGATATCACAAACACCCCACCCAAAACTGGACCAACCAGAATCCCAGAATCTTTGAACCTATTCTACAAATTCGAGGAAACTTAACTAAGACACACACTAACATAAAGCTGTGGTGTAAATGACATTTAAAATCACTATTATCTTCACTAACAGAGACGCCATCAGCTCTTTGCCACTTGAGTAAATAAATATTTATAAGGTGCTGTAAGCCAGGAGAATGTCATACTTCTCCAATAGACTACATTTTCAGGCAAGAGTGAAATAGGCAGGTTCTTTAAAACATCATCAACAGCAACACCCCCCCCCCCAATCACTACATTTGATGAGTAGTCCTTTCTCTTCTGTAATACAGGTAAGAGTGCTATTTTCAGTTTGTACTCTTGGGTGGAAAGTCATCCTGAAATTGAAGCCACTTCACAGTCTAAGCGGTTAGAAGAAAGTTAATCCATCAGGACTGAGAGAGTGAGTTGGACAAGTATAGTTCCCTTGAGCAAACAGGGAAAGCCAGGACAGTTTTTTTCTTCCTTCAGCTGAAGTTTCTCTATCCAGCTTCTAGTTAGAAGAAAAAAGAAACCCATTAGCAGATAGACTATTTTTGTTGTGGTGGTTGTTCGGTTCTTTTTTTTTTTTTTTTTTTTACTTAAAGTTTATGATAAAATTTCATAGCTACCTCCACTATTCTGGGGAGCATTACTATCATGGGTATTATGAAAAAGAGAAATGCCTATTGATGGTTGCTTCAGGTTTGCTAAACAATAAAAAACTGTGAAATATTGTCAGGAAGGACTAGGAAAAGTCACAGTGCTACTTTTACCAATGGATAGCTGTATGTGGATTGCCAAGGATCAGCCTCAGGTTGGGTGTCTTGAGGAAGGGATGTTAGGGAGTGACTCCAGTCAGTGATGGGTGCAAGCTGATAGCTCTGTGTTCTGTTAGAAATAGCTCTCTGCTTGCCTGAGATAACTCTTTCTTGCAGAACTAACTCCAGTCTTTATTTTGCATAAGCTACTTCCTTAGGAATTACTTAGCAGTTCAATCACTTACCCCAGACTGTTTTGATTATTCCACAAATCAACATTTTATGACCTTAGCCCCTTGACTCTAAAGACAGAGATACAATGGCCAAAAGCTCCCAGTTCTGTTGCTTTGGAGCTGGAAAATGGCCCCATTGTTCTAGTACATTATCACTAGCCTTCTGTTTTCCAACTCCTTCCCTGCCTAAAATTGGCTGTCCTGGCACTTTCTCCAAACCATGTTTCTGCTCCTGAATGCTGGGATTAAAAGTGTGTGCCACCATGCCTAGACTTTTCTTTACCTAGAACATGCTCTGTTCCAGGCTAGCCTTGAACTCAGAAATCTGCTTGCCTTTGTTCCCTGGGATTAAGGGATTACCACTATTCATGGGATTAAGCTTTTCATGGCTACTATTCCTGAAGATCCAGATCAAAAGCCTGTGTTTTCCAGCCTCAAGATCTGGATCACAAGTATGCCCTCCATTTCTGGATTGTAGTTCATTCCAGTTAAACAACAAGTCCAAACTATTCCTTGCAACTGTAAACACAAATAAGCTTAGCTCAGTGGGATTTTGCCCTGAGATCACTATTCCCTAAATCTCTTTATCTCCTTCCTTAATATCTTTCTGACAAAGCTGGCTCATTCACACAGCTGCCACTGTGTTTTCAGGTCCATGAAGCCCCTCATACAATTCATATTTCATCCTTCTATTTTTGCATAGTTGAGAAATCCTATAAAGGACAGTTCTTACAATGATTTATATATTCTTCAACTCATGTTTTCAAAGATTTTCCCCATAGCCTTAAGGGCTTTCTGAAGAACACTGCGTTGACCATTTTGCTGAGGAACATCAGACACATTCTTGCTTCCTGGAATCGTTTTGTTTCTGATTATCATGGAGTAGGGAAACAATCTGAGATAAACTTGGCAGGGAGAGTATTCCCCAAAGGAGGAACATAAAATAAAATGTATACACTGTTAAACAAACAAGCTGTATGCCTACAGCAAAGGTCAGCACTGGAGAAGACCCACGCCACGTTAGCTTTGCTCCAGGGGCAGAAACTCTGTCATAATGTCCCTTCCTTGACCATGCTGAGCCTGGCAGTGGATATCCCTTCAATGAAACAGAATAAGCCACCCCCATGCTGGTTTACTTCCCATGTCTCGATGCTGATTTTGCAGCTGAAAATACATGCTTTCCAAAAAGAATTTAGGTTGATGATTATTACACAATTCCCCATGCATCTTTGACAATTTTTATTTAAATAACAATAAAGAATTATTTGGAAATCTGCTATCTATGACAAAATTCTGCACAAAATTTAATCAACATTTTAGCATAGATGGGGAGAGGGCCGGGAGTCCTCACTTCCTTCTGAGAGACTATTGGCAGTTGATGTCTGCTTGGGGTTGGGGGTCGGTGGGTAGGGTCAGGTGTGTGTGTATGTCATTTTCTTCAGTGATATAGTCACTAACATGTTGACCATCTTCCAGTAAATAACCTCACATTCAAGATCACGCAAGCAAACTGATGGCTTACACACAAAATAGGATAAAAGAAGAATTGTTACAAGATGAGGGAGGGGGATGGAAGAGAGAAAGAGGGATGGGAAATAGTTATAATGCATTACATACATCCATGTATGAAACCATAATAAGAATGCAAAACAAAACCAAACAATATTTTCTTTTGTAAGCTGTTTGATTTCTATCCTAGTATTTGGAGAAGGGAGAGAACAAAGAATGGTATAGAAGAGGTCAGGTTGCTTTTGGTATTTATTTTCACACTTACGTTCTGCAGTCCTTGCCTATTCGACAACTTTGGGAAAACACAGGCATTTGCCAACATTACACACAACCTTTCCTCCACAAAGCAGCCCTAGCTTTCATAGTCCCTTGTGGCATCAAAGCTTGTCCTTCCTCCTTCTGTCTTGTGGTCTCACATTTTCCCAGTCTGTTTTCTCTTTACCCACATCTCTCTCTATATCTTTGATAGGCTGACTAATTTCCACAACATTGTATGTTTTTAGTGCTATGAATGTACGTGTATGTTATTGTGAATTGAATCATGTGATCTGTGAGTATTCTATCTTTGAGCAATATCCTTACCTTGTTTCTTATTTCTTATTTTAGATAGGATCTCACTAAGTTGTTCAGTGTGGTTTCAAAGTCATTTTGTAGTCAGGAAGGTCTTGAATTTATAATCCTCCAGCCTTCAGCCTGATTATCACCAATTACAGGCTTGCTTTGGCAGGTCAGGCTGTGAGCTTTCAATTCATAACAAACTATAAACAAGTGAATATCTCAAAGTGCAAATATTGACCATAGTAGACATGTAATTAAGGTAGATTGTGCTACATATATAGTGTTAAATCTGAAGACTTTATTCACAACATAAGCTCACACAAGTCCATTTGTTGACACATTTTACCTCAAACTATAAAACTTAAGATTTAAAATAGACAATTAAAAAAATGCTCTGATTTAAACCCAGTACCTTGGAGGCATTACACAAGTAAATTACCACTGGGCTACATTCATGCACCAAATCAAAATTTTAATTCTTTTACCAGATACGTTGGAGCCCACCTGTAATCAAAGAACTATATAGGTTGGTCTATAGTGAGATTGCAGCCAGCGAGCGAGCAAGCGAGCGCGCGCGAGAGAGACAGAGAATTTTCTTATGAACATCATTAATAAGCAGATGATATTGACTACACTATAAACTTGTGTCAAAAAATTCATTAAAACATTTTAAACACACACAATACACAAACAGAAAACATTTTAATGCATTGCTATATCGATTTCTATTGAATACTTGTGTGACACTTGCCCCTCCAGAACTGGTTAAGGTAGCAATCATTTATATTTACAATGTATCCTCACCTGTCCAATGTCAAAAATAGGAATGATTATTAAAAACATTAAGGACATGGGAGTTTATAATACAATACAAAACTACTACTAAAAGCACATTTGGAGCAAAGATGAACTTCAGCTGATCATATTTCATAATACTCAAAATATATTCTTTTAAGATAATTATATAAGTCCAACTTACCATATATAGAAATGTCCTGTGTAGGTTTTGGTTTGGTCAAAGTTCTGATTTTAATAAGCCTTCATTAACTGCTAAGCAATGGTATTAATTAGTAAAGTAAATCCTCTAAGAAAGCTATATTATTTAGGTTAAATAACTTTTAAGTGTTATACTTAAATTTTGAATTAAAAACATTTGATAAGCTAAGGTCATTTTTCCTATCATCACTTCTTTTCACCTACTGTGTATGTGTATGCATATGAGTATGTGTGTGTGTGTGTGTGTGTGTGTGTGTGTGTGTGTGTGTGTAGGGTAGGCCAGAGACAGAAGTCAGGTGTGTTCTTCAATCATTCTATTTATGTGTCTGTGCCTTATGTAAATGTTCACGCAGATACCTACAGAGGCCAGAAGAGGGTGTTGGATCCCCTGAAGTTGTAGTTGCAGGTGGTTGTGGCCTGCCTGAGGGTCTTGGGAACTAAACTCTAGTCCTCCACAAAAACAGAAGGTGCTCTTGACCGTGGCTCCATCCCCAGCTTTCCACCTAGTGTTGTTTGAGACAAGGTCTGTTAGTCTACTTAGTGATCCAGCAGACTGGGTGGCCAGCAAGTTCCCAGGACACTCATGTCTCTGGCTTAGATTTGGATGTAATTAAACACAGTTTTGGAAACACTTGCACAGGATCTGAGCATAGCAAGCACCTTAATGACTGAGCCATTTTTCTGGATCTTTATTCTATAGACACTTTTAGTAATATAATAATCTATATTATAAAACTGTGAAATGCTGCAATAACTTTCTCTAGATCTTAGCAACCCCATTCTAAGGTGTACTACTTAAGGCTCTGAAGATATGATAAAAAAGGTCAATGCCAACATATTATATTTGGATATAATGAACACCAACATCAATTATTATATTTTTTCCAAAACAAAAGCATCCCTCATCACAAAACTAAATACAGCTAGTGCTTTATTTAATATGTAAATAGTCTTCATATTTAGTTTCTGACCTCTAGAAATTCCTTTCTAAAATGTTAACAGTCAGGTGAAAAATTGGAGAGCTGTTACGTGTCTTAATAACAACTTTAGGTAAAACAGAGAGATGTAATAGTTGGCTTGGGATTTAACTGCAGTGCCATATACAATGGTGTGCATCTGTTCTTTAGTTCTCTACCCATGAGTACAGGATTCTGAGATCAGTACTGGGTAAAGTGCTAAAATCATTCTCAATATTGGTCATATTACACTAGGAGCAACACTGCAACAGTATGACCACTAAACCAGACGGCCAGAAGAATAATTTGATGACTAAATACACACAGATGCTCAAAATTCATCAAATTACTTTGATGCATATCTTCAACAAGGATTCTGCTCTTTACAAGGAATGGATTAAGGGTTATCTCATTTCTGAAGCTCTTCACCCCAACATGGTATTTCTTGGTAGAAATACAGTTAGTTTTCTGAGATGAAATTGGGAAACAAAATAAAACTGTTCACTGGCTGCCTCCAAATTACGAAAATCTTAAAGCATCATTCCAGTTTATGAAACTATGAATTTTGTAGTTAATAATGGAAAGAGCACTTAAAAGTGTTCTTTTCATTATTCTTTTTGAAGCTCCCAAGTTTTATGTTACAAGATTCTAAAGATCTAAACATGTCTAATCTTTCTTGAGATATAAGTAGTGTTACAAATTAAGTAATACTCCAACAGAGGCTAGTATTTTTCATTTAGAGATTGGGGTTCATTCCGACCCAGTGTTTGATTAACTGATGTGCAATAGCTCGGCTCGGTGGCACAAAGAATGCTTGCTGCTTCCCTTTGGTAAGAACATCCATAACCTGAAACATAACATAATACAGCACGTTAGAGGGCCAGCAGCCAACACAGTATTTCCAGTTGCTTCACTGAATCATGGTTTCCATTTTTAAATGTTTCAGAAAGGCATATGAAAACAAGGCCATGAATAAAAGCGAAGTATATGGCCTGCATTTAGCTTCAAGTGAAAACAACCTTTTGGTTTGGGTTCCTTTTCCTACAATCCTGAAGCAACAATTTGATATTTTGTGAATATAAGATAAAATTAATTTCATATGGACAAAGCCATAAATGGTTCTCCATTTTAATATATATGTGTCTATTTTTTTCTATAAATATTTTTTTTGGCTAAAAAACCAGTTCAATAATGCATTTTTATTACTTAGAGCTGTTATTTTCCAAAAGAACTTATGAATATATATTGGGACATATATTTATGCATTTAGTGACATCTATGTCTTTCTTGCCTTTCAGTTTCTTTCTTTCTTTCTTTCTTTCTTTCTTTCTTTCTTTCTTTCTTTCTCTCTCTCTCTCTCTCTCTTTCTTTATAATATATATCACATATATTACAAAGAATATATATTATATATTACATACATATAACAATATATATATATTACAAAGAAAGAAAGATACATACATATGTACATACGTATGTATGTCTCAATCCAGGATGGCCTAGGACTCACTATGTATTGCCCTCAGACTCTTGGTAACTCATGTGCTTCAGTACTATCATTCAAAATACACAAAAACTTCAAAACCTCCAAGCATTTTACTGACTTTTTTGAAAGCTATTGGCCGTAACATAAAGGTTTGAGATTACTATTTGTGATGTCTGAACTAATGTGAAGACTTTAAGCTCACTGAAAGGGATTAGCATTCATTCATCAGCAGGTCCAGCATGTGAAATCTGAAATGGTACGGCATCATCATTCTAGGAGAATCTCACGGAATGAGTCAGGGGACACATCAACAATGTCCATTTTCTATACAGAATGGAATTATCAGTTACATCCATTCATAATGAGAGGGCTGCAGCCGTTTGTTCGACTTGCTGGAAATATGCTTCCATGCTGCATGCCCAAACCAATACTATCATGGAACAATCAATACAACGAGGAAATTAAATTGAACTTTACCTGTTCTCTAGTGAACCATCGGGCATCCTCTATTTCATTCTTGTCAACTTTAATTTCTGTAGACACTGCCACAGCTAAGCAACCAATCATTAACGAGGAGGGCATTGGCCATGGCTGACAAGAGACATACTGAACATGGCCAACTTTGACTCCACTTTCTTCTTCCACCTCTCTCCGCACAGCATCTTCTATTGTTTCCCCTAATCAGATGAGGCACAAGAACAAGTGGCATCAGCATGACTTGGGCACAGTTCAAACATTTTGAAACCACTTGAAAGATCCCCCATTCACTGAATGTTCGTTCTATAATGGAAGTGAAGAAAAGTATTATGTCTGCAAGTATGTGGCCACAAATCGTGGATCAAAATGCCTTAAGCAGGTTTCATTTCTTAAAAGCAACCATTTGGCAGTTCCATAAAAGAAGTAATTACAAATTCTGCGACTATCATGTAACACTGATTAAATATTATTAAACATTTTATTATCTCATGCGTCACTATTCCTATGGCATTATTTCATGAGTTTATAAATGACTAGTTTTTCCCTCCATTAAAAATCTGTTTTACTGTGAGATAGGGTCTTATGTAGCTTATGGTGGCTTTGAACTTGCTATATAGCCGAGGCTATCCTTCATCCCCTGCCTCTAGTACCTCCACTTCCCAAGTATTGGGGTTACAGACATAGCATGCACTATGACATCCAGCTTTCATTAAAAGGTTGAAACCCAAATCACAGTGAAGTATTTGTAAGCATTGTTTTATTTGTGAATGAATGTTCTGAGTTTGTTGGAACTCCAAATAACAAAATGACTTTAAGTAAAATGTATTTGGGTGTTTAGAAATTTTAAAATTTATATCAGTACTTAACGAGAGATATTTTTAAATACAGCATTTATTTTAAACAGCTTGATGCATCCCCTATACACAAGTTCTTGTGCTTACTCTAAGAAGTGCACAGTGAAGAGAAGTCACAGAGGAGTGGAAGAGACTTGACTGAGTCCAATAACAGGATATGCCTACAGTCATGTTAACTAGGCTAAAACAATGAAGCAAACTAGGACACTAACATCTACAACAGAAAGAGGAGGAACACGGATGTGTAGTGGACATTTCACAATAGTGCTCCGTCAGAAGAGCAATGGGAGCTCACGCAGACACACCTGATTTCTTACCTCTTTAAACACAAAATACAAAATCTGAAAACTGAAACCCCATGCTAGGCCTAGTGGCACTTGCCTATAATCGCAGTACTTGGGCAGCCAAGGCACAAGGATCGCCAAAAGTTGGAAGCTCATCTAGAAACTCATTCAAATACCAAAGGGTGACAATTCCAGTATGGTAAAGCTATGGAATTATGTAGCGCTCATGTGCTGCTGGTGGTGATGTGAGTTAGGAGGAACACCTCAGAGAGGCACTTGCACCATTTAGTACAGTTTGATCTGTGAATATATGCAGTGATAAGTCTCTCTACCTCAAATAACTCTTGGAAATGTTCCTAAGGAGATGAACAATAATACTCACTAGACTTTTATTTTCAATAGCCAAAATTCTGAAATGAATTAAAAATCCATAAAAGAACACAGGACTATATATTAGGAAATTCAAGGGAAATACAACTTAGTAGTTTTAAAATGGCTTATACTTTAAACTTCTTCTTTCACACAGTGTTTTAATTCCTCTGCCACAATTGTTCCAAGATCCTCCCAGTCTCTGTACCTATCCAACTTCATGTTTTTTTTCCTTCAAAGAAACAAAACAATAACAAAATCCAAACAGAGAGGAGGAAGAAGCAGAAGAGAATGATGATGATGATAGTTAGTAATAATACCAATAAAACAAAACAAAGCACAAAAATCCACTGAGTTCATTTTGTGTTGGCCAACTACTCCTGGGAACGGGATTTATCCTGAAAAGGGATTGATATAGTCAGTAACACTCCACTGGAGAAAACTAATTTCCTCTTTCACAGAAGGCATCAATTGCTAATCGCTTCTTCTTTAAAGGTGGTGCTTCGTGTCCACCTCCCCTTCTCAGTAGGACATGGTGACTAGGAGCAAGGACTAAGAAGTGACTCTCTAGGCTTGAATCCCTTCTCTATCACCAGTGATTTGGGGCAAGGTATGCAGTCCTTGTGCCACAGTGCCCTCACCTGTCAAGGTGATGTATCAGTACCCACTTTAGAAGGCCGTAAAAGGATCACATGATTTAACACAGACAAGCTTCCAACTGAGGGCCAGGTGAAATATGTTTAGTATTATCATTACCTGGCAGTGCAGATTAGCATTGCATGTTGAGATTGAACATTACTGATCCAGACATGTTCATTCATCTGTTCTGGGATACCTACTAAAATCCTATTGCATGTCAAGTATTGGCTCTAACTGACTTATAAAAAATGGATAAAAGAGATCATCTTATCTCCAAGAACTGACATACTGCAAAGTCAATAATCTAGACATATGTACTAGAAGGTGGTGTTACTCATTAGGTAGGATGCCTGGGATTGTGAATGCAAGGATGGAGCCTAATGACTGTCTATGGGATAATCATATAATCCTTAGAGAGGGTGACACTTATGTCTAGACAGAAGAGAAGTGTAAGCTACCCGATGGCTTGGTAAAAAGCAGTGTATAATAAAGCAAATACTAAATTTCAAATAAACAAACAACCTTACTTCTAAAAATCTGAAAGTGATACAATGCTTAAATTACATGATTAAAGTACGATTTAAAATCCTTTGAGATCGGCAACATGGTTTAGCAGGTAGACACTTGTCATCAGGCGTGATGGCTTAAGTCGGGGACTCACATGGTTTAAGGAGAAAACTAACAAATTATTCTCTGATTTCAACAGTGCACATCTTTGTACATACGTATATACACACGAAAAAAGAATGCAGTATAAAATTAAATTATTTTTTCTGCTTTACAGCATGGTACTTACTGAATTATATATCTCACATGCTATCTTCTAAAATTCTAAAAATCAGTCAGTATAGGCTTACCAGGCTCAATAAATCCAGCAAGACAAGTAAACATGCCCGGGGGGAATCTCTTCTGCCTGCCTAAAAGACACTTGGTTCCATCTGGATGGATAACCTGCATGATTACGACTGGATCTGTTTAAAAAAGAAAACAACAGACACACAAGTAACAGTAAATATAATTCGACTCACAATAAGATAATAGGCAGGTATATGTCTTACAAGAACAAGACTCCTGTTTATACAACAGTCCTCCTTTCTGCTCTGATGTGCTTTATAAACATCTGAGAAATTGCATAGACGATCTTCAGCCAGTGAAAGGACGATGAGTTTTGCCATCCTTACTTCACTCTTAGCAACATTTACCCTGTGCTTAGGGTGTCCTGGGCACGAGTGTGTGTAGATGATATACGGATATTGAAAATGGAAGTTTACTAAATAATACACTGTTTCCCCCTTTTATCCCAATCTTCAAGAAATGGTTTTAAAAGTGAGTGTGGGTCTTCAGTTGAGTTTGAATCACTGAAGTAATAATCCTTAGGTATCAGTTCATCTCTCCAGAAGTTATCAACCTGGGAACTCCTCCTCAGGAGACCAGGAGCGAGAGCAAGGGACTCAGTCATCAAGTACCCCACTCCTCCCTGGTGACCTTGACAGGGACAGCTGAATCAGTCTACTTCTCTCATGGCTTTAAGGGCCAGATTATGGGATTTCTACAGTTAGAGAAGAAACACAGCTGTAACTAGGAGGAAAGGGGTGTAGAGGACAGGAGCCCAGATGAAAAACTAGCTGCAGATGCCACAGCTGGGTAATGTCTCCAGCAGGCACTGAATCACTGGAGACTTCATTACTGCTGCATAAGAGGAGTAAAACTGACTAGCTTTGAAATGCTGCAGAGGCAGGCCTATGGTTAAGAGTGCTTGAGGCTTCCAGAGGACCAGGTATCCACATCGGGCACTTCTCAGTGAATGGTGAATGCGGCTCAATGGTATGACACCCTCTTCTGGTCATACATAACACCTGCACACACGTATTCACATCTGTATGCACATACATATTTATACATATATGCAAACATACACACACAAACACACACAAAGAAAGAAAAGCCTTACCAACTCTTGGGTAAGATGTGTTGTGGACGCCAAGGAGACTAGGGCAGTTCTCTTGTACACACACTCTTTTGTAGCCACCTTCCTCAATTTTTGTTGCACTGCCACAGGTTGGGCAGAACTTGTATCGGCTATGCCATGCAAGCACTGATCTTGCTTGAGCTACGACCCCTTTAGAAGGAAGGACACAAAGTTTTATTTCTATGAGAAGCTGGGGTAAGATGCAGATACAGTGTTTTAAAGCAACAGCAAGCACATGCATTGTTTTCTGAATCACTGCTTGCTCAGTGGCTTTAGTATTTATCTTTATGAAGTATCATTATCATTCAGTTTTATACTTTTGGTTTTAACCACTTCATTGTAATAGTTACACGGATAAAAATACTTCACAGCTAGATTAGTGTAGCCAGTCAAACACAATATTTTTCCTTTCAATTTAACTTTCTACCTGACAAGTGAGAATCAGAGGTAATTTTCATTTGAATAGGACGGATGTATCAATAGATCAGGCTTCTGCTATTGGCACTTAAGATCTGTATATACATGATATGAATATACAGTGAGTTTACAAATACAACTTTATAACAGAGATCATGAAATCTTAAGTTGGGCTGCAGGTGTAGCTGAGTGGTAGAATACTCTTTTAGTGTTTGTGAGTCCTGAGATTTTTTTGTAGCTATGAAAAACAAGAAAAGAAAAACAAAAATAACCCCCCACAATGATCCATTTTTCTTTACATTTGTGATATTAGACTTGGACTTCGAGAAATATCACTTGGAAACCACAGGGAGCTGTCTCCATCTTCCTTGGTGTATTAAGCCACTGCTCGTACCACCACTGTGGGACATAACTGGTTCTTACTTAGTCCCTGCACATAACGTATAGCATATGCACATAGCACATAATGTATAGCATATAGCTCATAGCATATAGCACTTAGCACATAGCATATAGCATTTATTTGTAGTTAACTCCATTAAGCATGCCCAACAGAATTTATCTTAGGATATCTACACTCTGGTTCAAACTCTTATATTGATTCTTCCGGGTCATTATGAGCTGACAGAACCTGTACAATCAAGGTCACTAGACTAGGAACATTTCAGAGGCCTAGAGAGCTTACTTTCCTTAAAATATAATGTAACAACACTTAAAGTGGGAATAGTGAATAAAAATTATGTCACTGATATTTAAAGAATCACAGGTATCATTAACTCTGTGCCTGTTACCTTAGACTAATTAACCTAATTTATACTGTAGAATTTACCATCTTCAGAATCTATATACGAAAATATGTATTTAGTATTTGATATACACCATACACCATAATATATACATATATATAGAGAAGTAGAAGGTTATATACTAAAGTAGTTATTACTATTTCCTCACTAGTAAAATAAGAAAAAAAGAAGCAGTGCGCTCATTTAGAACTTATAAAGCTATACATATGGATCTAAATGCAACTTTTGTTATCTCAGTCTATTGTTTCCTCCCCTTTCTCTGTCTCTGCTCTTACTTTAATCTGCCCACCAGCCACGGTTCTACCACGCTACCTCTGTAGTCCCTAACACTGTCCCTTACTCTCTATTTTCATTACCACCATTCTAGCCTGCTGCCTCTCTCCTAAGCCACTGCAGTAACTAACCCACTCCTAATAAGGCTCCTGACTGCCACTCTACCTGTATACCTACAAGTCATGCTGTATGAAGTAGCCAGCATTAACTTTTTCTTTAACATACAGACACAGATACACACACATCAAAAAATCTCTAGTTATTTTCTTCAAACCTTTTCTTTCTTTCTTTCTTTCTTTCTTTCTTTCTTTCTTTCTTTCTTTCTTTCTTTCTTCCTTCCTTCCTTCCTTCCTTCCTTCCTTCCTTCCTTCCTTCCTTCCTTCCTTTCTCTCTTCCCTTCCCTCTTTCTCTCTTTCTTTTTTCCTTCCTTCATTCCTTTCCTTCCTTTCTTCCCCTTCCTTTCTTCCCCTTCCTTCCTTCCCCTTCCTTCCTTCCTTCCTTCCTTCCTTCCTTCCTTCCTTCCTTCCTTCCTTCCTTCCTTCCTTCCTTCCTTCCTTCCTCTTTTTAAAGATGATATTTAAAAGCCCAACAACAGAAAACAGAACAGCCGCGGTCTTTGACGTCATGCTCAAAGCACAGTAAGGACTCAAACATTATTCACAGAAGTATCAAATGAGACAACCATACATAAACATTATCTCCAAGGAAACTAACTGTGGCTCACCGAAACTGCTGCCAGGACTACACCAGCGCCCTAGAGTAAAGCCCTGAGGGGGTTCTTACATTTCCAGCTCACTGGCACGTGCCACCCAGATGCTACACAAGCCCACAGCTCTAAACTTGTTACCTACACAGGCAAGCATATTCATTCAGTCATTTCTCACCAGCCTCTTTTTCTTTCAACTGCAGAAGAGCTGGCATTGGCGGGTGGAGAAAATAACAATTTTCATGTCTTTGCTTAAACTCCTCAGCAGCACCAGGTTCTATACCGAGGGCAAACCACGCAACCAAACCATCCTCCTCTTCCTCTGGGGCTCCTCCGGCATGATTGTGTGAGCCTTTCTTCATTTCAAGCTCAACTCCAAGGAACACCAAGGTGATCTTCTCAGGCTGAGCCAAATAGCGCTTTATATCTGCGTAGTTCAGCTGGCAAAGCCTTACTTCCGGCTGCTGCGAGCTTTCTTTATTACCACCTAGGGTAACCAGGGGGTTCAAGTCTGAGAAAAGGATATAAACTGTGGCAGGGTGGCTCTCTTTAGCTTGCAGCCAGTCAGAATTATTTCTTTTGTCACTCTTCCGGTCCAGAAGTGTTCTGCTAAAATAATTTTCACACTCGTCCACTTCATTGGTTAGGAACCAGGGCTTCTTTCCACCTTTTGCATTAGCTAACAAGTTAGCTATATGCCTATAACCCCAAAATACAGCAATATCCAGGGCAGTTTGCCTCGATTTATTGACAAGTGACCTGTCACATCTAGACAGAAACGGGGAGAAAAAATAAAGTAAGTAAAATGTTTCTCTTGTATTTATTGTAATAAAATACACACATAGCCCCATTATTTAACGTTTTTTTTTTCTTTTTTGTCACTTGGTTCATAGTTCATTACTGAAGGTTAAAAGAATCTTGTAACAATTATAAGAAATAAAAGATTAATCATGGTATACCTTTAAATAAGATGAAAAAGTATCTCTATGTGCCATAAAGAAATGCAAACATTCTATACCATGGTATAATGAGACACATACTTTTTATTTAAAAGAGGGGATTTAAACTCTCCCTAGGCATTGTTTTAAACAAAGTACAAAGGTTTAATGTCTCAAATAAGAAAGTTGTCTCTTAAATGTAGCTTGGAGTTACAGAGCTTGCCTGAAATGCACAAGGTCTTGGGTTTAATCCCTAACACTGACAAAAAAAAAAAAAAGTTGCTTTAGTGAGAAATTAGGCCACTTTTCATATAATAAACTGGGCAGTGAGCTATTTCCTAGCTCATTGATATAAATATGTCTACAGGAAAATGTGTAAGGACACAATACCAGAAATTAAAGAAGAAACATTTTTTAGGTGGTACAGGCCTAAGATGTTTACCCTTTGTCCAGCAGAATCTGGACGACGTCAGGATGCCCGTTCCTGGCAGCATACATTAAAGCCGTCCATCCATTTTCACAAGCCTCATTGAGAAGAGATGGAGAATGACTGAGTATTCCTGCTAACTTTGCGACATTTCCTTCTGCAGCTGAGCTGTGGAGTTCAGAAATCATTTCCCTTTTGGGATTTCTTTTAACAGAAGACATTTCTTCCTTAAAAAAAAAAAAAGAGTGAGAAAAACCTTATTCACAATTGCTTTTTGCATGAATGGATGAACATTATTTAAATGCTGATCTCAGAAAGACAGTACGTTTCCAAACCAATACACCTGTCAAAAGATAACTTGTAGTCAACTGCTATTCAAGTACAGAAGGGGACAGGGCTGGGGCACGGAAGGGATAGGGTTAAAGCAGACAGAACTAGAGGCAGATGCTTATGAAAATGATAAGTAGTACTCTGATTCTATACAATGCTGTAGATGTCATCCCTCAAAGAAATTATGGCTCCATAATTATTCAAGAGCTTTTAAAGCTTCACAGAAAAATAATGTACTGGTTAACCTTACATAATTAATTTTCGATCCATATGGTACTGAGTTTTGTTTGTCTAGGTCAGGATTTATTTGAACTCATGGGTAATTCCTGACTCAGCACCTTTCTTGACATTATCATTGTCTGGTGGCATGGCTATCCTTATCATGAATTAGATGACAAGGCATTTCTGTATCTACTGTTGGATGAAGGTTCTGTTGGCCTCTCCATTGTCCTTGAAGCAGTTCTAAAACTTACTTATGTTTTCTGACTTGTTATGCTGTTAGGTTGTAAACAAAGCAAAGCCATGTTTCTTAATGTATGCTATGTAGTCCCTAATTCTGTTAAAAAAAAAAAAAGATACAGGTAACAATAGTTCCTGTTTCAAGAGTTAACTTCAAAATATTCTTCCCTCTCAGTACTGCATGTTCTACCCAGAGCCTTGTCTCTTGGATTTTGAAACAGCAATGTGGCTAGTCAAGTTCACAGCCTAGTCTGCACAAAGTAGAGGAGAACAACAGGTCCAGGATTAACTTTCAAATTTGGCATGTGCTTTCCTATTTGTGTCTTTTGTTTACCAATAATTTAAAACTGCTTCAGGCAATGGAAGAAACCCGCTGAAAAATCTGTTCACCAGTGAAGTTAGGAGTAACCTCTATGTATCTCCATTTCCTTTCATTTGGTGTATTTTACTTATTTTCCAACTTTTGTCATATTGAAATCTTAAAATTCTTTAAAATACTGTAGTCCCCGTTGCGATATTCCAGGACTTTATTTAGAAGCACTGCTAAGTGTCTTCCTAACTCCTTTTCTCTTAAATTACTTTCGCAAACTTCGGTTATAGTTTCTCCAGCGAGGTTTGCTTTTAACACCACACTGTTCCCTGTTCAGAGGTCACGGTTTCAGAGGTCATGGTCACTCCCTCGCTGCTCTCACAGTCTCACAGATCACCCTAGGTGACTTCAGCATTGCACATCCAAACATGCTGTGTCATACACTACCCCCAAGGCAATACATATGCATAAAACATTCTCTGCACCACAAGGTGGTATTAGCTTTCTCAATACTTCTATGACTCCTTCCAAGGATGCTCAGAAGACATGACCCGTGGCAGCACTACCTGCTAATCATTTATTGGCAGGTTCTGTGGAAGGTGGAGTGGGAAGGTAGTATAAAGGTTTCCGAGGCTATTCGGAGAGGTCAATCAGAAGAGATTTGGATTTTAAAGGAACTATATTTTAACCAAAACAACATCCAGTTTTACTAATGAGTAACTTCATGCCCAAGAGCTGCCCAGCATGGATCCAGCAGCTTACAACAAGGCCTGATAGTGGACCAGTCAATTAAACCACCCACCATCGATTTATATATTCCACTCGCTGGGGCTGTGGAGACCGATTTAACCTCTTACGTGCATCCCACGCAAGCACGATCTCCCCCAACGACCAAATGCCTTGAATAGTTATTTTTCTTCTATTGTACGACTCCTTCTTTCAAGGAGGGGACACATCCGAAGTAATTTGTTTTACCCCATCCAAAACTTGGCTGGGAATTTTAGTAGCCACCTGCCGGCAGGCAGCTTCAGGTCGTAGTTTCCCTCTTTGCGCCCTCTCTAGCCCGCGCCAGGCTACACCACAAGCCCGCTAGGGACGTCCTCGTCCTCTAACGTCACGGGGCTTACTAAAACTACTAACCCAAGGGTGAGCAGGGAGACCGCGACCACGAAGTAAAACTCCGCCGCAAACTCAGTTGTCAGTTTTCCCGGTGCTGGAGGGAACCTTCCGGACTTCCGGCGGAGGGCCACTGTCCTCGCACAGCTTTATGGGAGATGTAGTTTAAAGGCCATCGACAGGTTCAGGCGGCTGATTAAGGTGAGGGCAAGGAAGGGTGGGGATTGGACCTCGGACTTCAGGTGCTGAGAAAGATCACTAATTCTTCCCCAAGATGGAAGTGTGTGGAGTCAAGTGCTGGCGTTAAGATAATGAAGTCTGTGGAAATGATCTGTTTTCTTCTATTTCTCATCCAGCTCCCCAACTTTCCATTAAACAATACGGTTCACTGCTATTGAGTTTTCTATAGTGTCATGAAAATGCTAACGTCTGATCACACATTAAATTAGGAGCCACCTCTACGTATGATTTGATTGATATTGCTTTCCAAATTTTTATATTGAAGTTTTAAAATAATTTGAAATAATAAAATTGTGATCTTTCAGGACTTTATTTTTTTTCCAACCTGCCTTCTCTTAAATGACTTACCACAAACTCTTGCTGCACAGTTTCTCTGAAATTTACTTAGCTGCACAAGTCACTTAGATATGTGGCCTGAAGCAGGTTTCTTGTCTCTGTAAAAGCCAAACCTCACATTTTATAGAAAATGCCACCATAGTCTGCCTACCTTATTAAGTAATCCTTATAAAGGTATGTTTGGAGTTTCCATAATCCCTCCTCGACTGTAGGTTTATGGAACATAATGCATGAAAAACTCATGGGACCAGAGTTGATACCCACAATACCATATTCTTGCAGTTATCAATTTAATTTCCTACGATTTCATTTTCTAAAGCCTACAAAAATTATGTGATTCTTTGAATAGCTTGGTCGTTAGTGGTCCTCTAATCCCCAAACCAGTGAATGGTACTTGTCTGTCAGCAACAACTGCAGGAGTATTTTAAGACTGACCATTGCTTTCTGTACCTTCCAGGTCCCTTCTCACACTAAAGTTGCATATATCTGTTGACAGTGTGATGCTTGAACTGGGAATTGAACCCAGAGCCTCTTGAGTGCATGGTAAATGATCTATTACATTCAGCCTACTACCAACTATACATCTATGACTGCTTCTTACGGTTTGTCCTATGCTCTGTTCTGTGGGTAGTTGTGTTGGGTGGAAAAGGACGGCCCCCACAGGCTCATGTATTTGAGTACTTGGACACCATTTGGTAGAACTCCTTAGGAAGGATTAGGAGGTGTGGCTTTGTTGGACTAGGTGTGTTAATTGGGAGTGGGATTTGAAGTTTCCAAAGCCCATGCCATTCCCCATTAGTCTCCTTTGTCCAGACACCTGCCTCCTACTTGCACATAAGTATGTGAGCCCTCAGCTATGGCTTCAGCACCACACCTGTCTGCCTGCCTGCAGCCATGCTCGACACCACGATGCTCATGAATCCATCTAGTGAAGATTTAAGCTCCCCCATCAAGCCTTCCTACATAAGTTTCCCTCAGCATGGTGTTTTGTCACAGCAGTAGAGAAGTAAGTAAAGCAGATATAATTACCAGACACATCAGAGCTGCTAGATATTTCCCAAACTCATACTTTATTCTTCCTGCGCCATACATTGGTGACAGCATCTTTCTTGTAGTGCTAGCAGGAGCCCTCCTCCTCGGCTGCTGCTCTGTCAACTTCAATGGCCACCCTTTGTGTTGCCCTGTAGGCCCCACTCTCACTGCCTTTGCTGGATTCATGGATATTTATGGGCCTTTAAGGTATCCTAAAGGGCTTTTGCAAACCTTCTGGGAAAAAAGACACAAGTATTTTTTATTTCAACATTGGCATGGGGGATGGGCCAAGCCACTTTTCCTACATAGGATTTGCTCTTGTCCTTTGACAACCAGTGGTGATCACAGCAATGAGATCATCCTCTGAGATTTGAACAATTTAGCGTAAACAGGTTCTGTTTAAAGAATTGGTAGGGGTAGAGAATTCTTTCCTTTTTTGTTTCATAAATTACTTTTGGAACATCCATGGGATATTTTTCCAGTAGCCTGTTCCTTTGAGTTGTATGGAATGCCTGAGTCATGAACTATTTTGTGTTGGGCACAAAAGTTTTGAAATACAGAAGAGGTAAAACAAGAACATTGTCTGTCCTGAGGGGTTGTGGATAGCCCAGCACTGGGTGCATTGCTTAACTATTTGTCTAGCCTGCTCTAAAGAGATGGAAAACTCCTTGCAGAAAAAAGTGGTATTTTGATGGTACAGAAAACACATGACTATCATGAGCTTGTATTATGATGGGCTGCACAGTAGCAGGGAAGCAGAATAAGGACCAAGGTATTGGCTTGAATGTTACTGTCCGCTACTGGTCAGGGATATCTGAGTGTAATTTAATATCACCAACATAGCAAGAACTCTGGTGGTGTTGCAATAGTTCTTAAGTCCTATGGAAAAGATGGTATTACTGATGATCCTAACCAATATTGGCTGTCTCCAAGGCTTACATTACTTCCATTACATAGGGTCTGTCACTGTGCTTATTGAGGGGGGCAATGGCAAAATTCTCTAAAACAGTGCAAACTGCAAAGAATTGTGCTCACTGAGCTGAGGTGTGGAATGTACGTTGTACCTTAGGATCCAAGGAAGAGTGCTGGACAACTACACAGTTGCCAGAAGTATGTTAGATAGTGGAAGATGAGAAGCAAGCTGAGTAGTTTAATCAGTCAAAGGGTATCTGCCAAGCAGTGGATTGTTAGCAGAGCCATTATTGTACCTAGCATTTCTAATGAATTTCTGTCCATTTGCTGTTAATTTTGCCACCAAATCCTAGTTAGAGTTAAGTACCACAGAGGGAGATGCTCCCAAATGTTCTGCTATTGTAGAGTATGTCTTTATGGGTCATGGGAAATTTTAGAATTGTTAATGAAAGAGGCAAGTAAGTCCCATCTCTGTCCTTGACTATTGTACATAGCCACCTCCACTGTAGTTAGAGTCAGCCTCAGAAGTAAAATGTTGTGGAGAAAAAGGCTTGATGTCTGCTTCTAAAGTTTGGAAGAGGAGAAAGTCCCTGTGTAGTAAGGTTAAGTGGGGGGTCTGAGACAATATCATCCAACAGTTTTTGATAATCATGAAGAGTTTTGAGAAAATCCTTATGAATTGCTAGCTTTTGAGAGCATACTGTGTGCTCCTCTGTGATTTTACCCTTGATCCTTTCCTGCAGTAAACTGAAAGCCCTAGGCCCAAAAGACTATTTATGTGATCAACTAAGATTTCTGCCAATTAAAAAGAGTCAAAATGGCTGATTAAAATATCATCCATATCACTGATATTATAAGTAAGTCTGTACTAGTTAGGCTGTGATGTAATGCCATGACCAACTTGGGGAGGAAAGGGTTTATTCCACTTGCACTTCCACATTGTGGTTCATCTCTAAAAGAAGTTAGGGTAGGGACAGGAGGAACCTGGAGGCAGGAGCTGAAGAGGCTATGGAGGAGTGTTGCTTATGGACTTGTCAATCACCATTTTCTCAGCCTACTTTCTCATAAAACCCAGAACCAGCAGCTCAGACCCACCCTCATGGATCTAGTTCTCTTGCATTTATCACTAATTAAGAAAATGTCCTATAACTGGATCTTATGGGGGCATTTTATCAATTGCTGGCTGCCAAGAACTTGTATCCAATGTACATGAAACTAGCTAGCACAAAGCCTTAGGGTTTTGGTCATGTACGGGTTTAATAATCTCAGCAACAAATTCCTGACACATCACAGGGATCCTTTTCATACCCTGGGAAGAGGGTTAAAGGAAAATTTTTGTCATTACCAGTAGTTAGCAGATGGGTGAATGTCCTAGTCACTGTCCTATTGCTGTGAGGAGACACCATGACCAAAGCAACTCTTAAAAAAGAAAGCATTTAATCAAAGGTTGGCTTACAGTTTCGGGGTTTTAGTCCATTATCATCATGGCAGCACACATGGTACTGGAGCAGCAGCTGAGAGTTATATCCTCATTCACAGGACCAGAGAGACACTAGGCCTGGAATGGTGTTTTGAAGCTTCAAAGTCTATTCTTACAAGGCCACACCTCCTAATCCTTCTAATCCTATCAAAGACATCCACTACCTGGTAACTAAATATTCAAATATATAAGCCCATGGGGGCCATACTTATACAAACCATTAGAGTGGAAACAAACAAACAAACAAACAAACAAACAACAAGACAACCCTTTAAGTTAACTATAATTAATTGAAAATAAGGCTATGACAGTCTTGACTAAGGAGACATCATTGCTTGCATGACTTTGTAGTTCTTAAATTCTGTATCAGCCTTCATTTGCCTTCCTCCTCCTCCTCCTCCTCCTCCTCCTCCTCCTCCTCCTCCTCCTCCTCCTCTTCCTCCTTCTTCTTCTTCTATAAAGATAATGATGTACAATTCTATGTACCTGCTCTATAATTATTTCTCCTCCAAAACATTGGCAATAGTCAATTTACCACTCCCAAGTGCTACAATACCTGGCAATTAGGCTCATATACTCTATCCAGTAGGGATGGCTTGGGTCCCTAAGTTAGGGGTTGCAATAAGCTGGTTGGTAGATCTGATGTTGCTTGATGTTGCTTGATAGAGCTGATGTATGGTGGGTGAATTTTGGTGACTGGGGTCACCTGTCTGCCCTGTTAGTTCTTGGGGATCCCCAGGATGAGATCCCCTATTTATTCACTGGGCCAGGGCAGGCCACAAAGCTGTTTTCCCAGCTCTCCAGAGGCTGTCTGTGAGTATTTGTTTATGAACAACGTCATTATCAGTGGATTCTTCTCTGACATCTCAGACACAGGACTGTGGAGACCATCCAGGGGATGACCCTGCTTCCTTTTAAATTTGAAATTTCTGCAGTGGCTCTCATTGGCAAAAGGTCCCATTTGTTTGTGTGCATAGCAGACATCTCTTGTTTTCTCAGGGCATACAACTTCCTTAAAGGAGACAAGAGAGCCACTGATCTTGGACCTCAATTAGCACACAATAAAATCATTGTAAGAAGTGTGCCATAAATTCTGTATACAGTTCTTTTCAGG